CACCTTTCACCACCTCACAACAATCTTGAAAAATTGCCATGGAAAAACCATCCGGTCCTGGAGCTTTGTCTCTGTCGCGATCAAAGACTACTTTAATTTCTGTCTCCTCAAAAGGCCTTTCAACCCACCTAGCCAAAGTTTCATTGATCGGTGCCCACTCAAGACCTTCAATCCCAGGTCTAACTACCCCTCCAGAATAGAGATTTTAGTAAAACCTAAAATCTCATTTGATTCTCATTTTCGACCACTACCCCTTGCCCCACCTCAAGCTTCTTAATGAATTTCTTTTTTCTTTTCCCATCCACAACCCTATGAAAAAACTTAGAATTAAGATCTCCTTCCTTAATCCATTTTAGTTTTGCCTTTCGAGCCTAGAAAATTTGTTCCCTGAAAATGATCTCCTCCATTCTAGATTTCAACTCATTCCTTTCTCTCCTCAATACATCATCCAGACTTGCAAAAGCCTCAAGAGCATCAATCTCTTTTATCCTCCCAATGACCTCCCCTTCCTTTCTACTCAAATTACCAAAGATCTCCCTATTCCATTCCTTTACTTTTTCCTTAATTTGTTTCAACTTCCTTATGAAGCTAAAACCCGCCCAACCTAAACAATTGCAATCATTCCACCTAAGTGCGAAGTTTTCTCAAAACGAAGGATGCTCTAACCACATATTATCAAATCTACAAAGTGAGTCCTCATTTGAATGGGCAACTCTCAACTACAATCGGACAGTGATCCGATATAAGTCTCGGGAGAGCTTCCTACCTTACATCCGAAAACAAGTCGAACCACCCCAAAGAAAATAAAAAGCTGTCCAATCTACAATATACCAGGTTTTCTTGAAGGTTAGACCAAGTAAACCTAGCACTAAACAAAGGAGGATCCATTAAACCACTCTCCCATGAACCCATCAAAATCCCTCGTTCCTCTATTAACCTGAGAGCCATTGAGCTTTTCTGATACTGTTCTAACCACATTGAAATCTCCACCTACGCACTAGTTTGGCGAACACAGCCCATATAAACCAACCAGCTCATCCCACCATAACCCTATCCAAGAAGGACTATTTAGGCCGTAAACCCCCAACAACCACCATTCATTGCTATCTAAATTTCTAAATCTGATTGAAATTGAAAACTCCCTCAAAACCGTATCACAGTCGCTCACGACTCTTTAAATCCTAAACCCTAAACCAAGAGATAAAATGGACTAATTTAATCTAACTTTGCTTGCTATGAATATACTGACAACATATGATCTTGCATATATATTATATAACTCAGCGCTAAATAATCTAAGGAGGGGGTAAAGATGCTCAAAAAGCTTCAAGAAATTTGCTAAAAGTTGAGACCTTCTTTCTTCCTCTCTTCCTTTTCTTTCTTTCTCTCCTCTCTTCCTCTCTGTAGCCGTATGGTGTGTGCCAAGTTTTAAAAGGCAAATACATAACTTGGGGCGTTTTGCCCCTCACGAGATAAGCGTAACCCTCAAGGCGTCAAGATGTAAGAATTTTGAATTTTAAATTGTAATACTTAGTAAATAAATTAAATATTATAAAATAGTAAATAAATAAATCAATTAAATATAAGGTGAAAATATTTTACTTCTTAAGGCATTGAACATTCACTAGAAGGAAGCTTGCCTTCATTGAAAGTGAATTTGACATTCTTAGCTTTAGTAATTGAATTTTTCACTTGAGCATTAACTTTTTGTTTTTTCTTGATTGATCATTTACTGCTATAGAACATAGTTACAAAAGGGTTCATCTTTACTTTTGTTTTTTTATAGTGACCACTATTAGATCGTTTGCTGGAGAGACAAGTGAATTTTCATTTATTGTGCGGTTACACCAAGAATCAACTTTAAGTTCTTATCATTTTGTTTTTAGTTATGGATGAGTTAAGGAGAAATATTCAAAATGATGTGTCATGGTGTATTCTTTTTGTAGATGAGACTAGAGGAGTTAACACTAAATTGGAGACTTAGAGAGAAGTATTTGAATCTAAAGGATTTAGGATAAGCAAAATTAAGGCTGAGTACATGAAGTGTAATTTTAGTAATAGTAACAATAGAAGAAGTGAACTACCTAAGAGTAAACATTTTCGCCATTTAGAATCGATTATCACAACGGCTAGGGAGATTGGTGCGGATATGGTCCATAGAATTAAAGCGAAGTGGCTTAAGTGGAGAAGTGCATTTGGGGTATTGTGTGATAAACGAGTATCCGCTAGACTTTTAAGAAAGTTCTAAAGAACGGCTATTAGACCGACGATATTGTATGGGACGGAATGTTGGACAATTGAGAAATAACATGTAGATAAGATGAGGATGCTACAGTGGATGTGTGACAAGATTAGAAAAGATAGAATTAGGAAAGAGTATTCGTGAACGGGTAGAAGTAGTACTGATAGAAGATAAGTTGAGAGAGAATAAATTGAGATGGCTGGGTCATATACAACGGAAACCAATAGAGATAATAGTGAAGAGATGCGATATAGTGACGGTAGATGGAAGTGTTAGGGGAAGGGGTAGACCTAGATTGACGTGGACTAGTGTAATAAATAGAGATATGAATCTCCTGAATTTGACTAACCAAATGGCCATTGATAGAGTCGAACGGAGAAGAAAGATTCACGTACCCGCCCCCATTTTGATTTGGTTTGGTTTGGTTTGGTTTGGTTTGGTTATGTTTAAACCATCTACTAGACTACGTATAACAAGATCAAAAGGCAACTTCTTCATATGTGTACTCCTCATATGCTTATGTGCCAAAGGCGTACAATGCACATACCTCATACTATGATGCGCAAGCTTTTAGGGAGTATATCCTAAAAATCAAAGCCTTGATGCGTTTTACCTTAGCCTCAAGGCGAGGTGAGCATCAAGTTGAGCCTCAATAAAGTCTTTTAAAACTGTAAGTGAGTGTAAAGGGGGAGGGGAGAGCCTTCTTATATAGGCACCTTGTGAAATAAAAATAAAACAAAAAGGAAAGAAAAGAATTGTCATCCTTGCAAGCAATCTCATTGGGTGGGATTGCCACCCTTCTAGCACCTAAGTAGCAAGAGTGGTTGATTGTTGGCATGGGTAAACATGCCTTACACTAAGTCAAAATGGCATGGGGAAAAAGGGGTTGTGGTCACCCCCCTGTTTTTCCCCCCCCCCCCCCTCCCCTCCCCTCTCTCTCTCTCTCTCTCTCTCTCTCAAGTGTATATATGCAACAAGTGTATATATGCAATTTTTTTTACTAGTATAAGAGATATTTCTATTATTATAATGTACCTTCTCCTAGAAATATCTAGTGTGTATATATAACTATCTAGTTTGACTTGGTTGCTGACTCAGTTGAACAAGTTAAGACATATCTTGAACATAGAAAATAATACATGGAGTTAAATTTTAATGAGTTTAAAATTATTGGCAATCATAGAGGAACACTTGTTATGAATTTTAGTTCAATTAATGGAAATTCAATTTTTTTTAAATAATTAATCTCTTTAACAGTTATCTGAAATTGTGAGTTCTCATAGAACGGGACACAGATCAAGCAATTAGCATACTCAACATATTTATTTCGTTGCCATGGTCGTGTTCAATATTTGAGGGAGAGCTCGGGGCAAGTTCTTTTTCTAAGTCAGGGAGAATGATGAGGAACATGCACAGGATATTTTCTTTCGTATCTTCTAATCTATGCCATCAGTATTTATTTATTTATTTATTCTCTTTCCAATTATAGTTAATTAGGATTCTGAAGATTTATTTCCTTTTAGTATGTTTCTTAGTGATCAAGAATTTTTAATTAGAATTCCCACGATTTGTTTCCTTTTGATATGTTCTTTAGTTATAAATAATTTTAGTTTCCTTTATTTTGTTATTTTGTTACTGTTTTTTTAGCCTATATATAAAGGCTTTGACATTGTAATTGGGAAGAGTTGATTAATGAATTTGAGTTGAGAAACGTTCTGGCTTTGTGTATAGGGTTGTGGCCCATGTTCTCTTGAAATTCTTTTCTTGAATCTTGGTTCTTTTATTTTGGAACCATTCTCTATACATTTTGGTTTTTGAATCAATTAGATCGTTGAACGGATTTCTTCATAGCTGTTTGGCATCAGAGGGAGAGTAGAATTGACAGATATGGGAAGGGGGAAAGAGGGAGGAAGAAGAAGAGAGAGAAAATGATGAGAACGAGAAGAGACAAAAACAGAGAGACTACCATGATCTCTCGTCCAGAGTTCTCTTAAGGACAACACAATTCTATAACCAAACTAATATGTGTTGACCACGGTTTGCTACAAACTAAAATTAATTAACTTTTAGTGAATTAAAAAAAATGATTTACAAGATTGAATAACCATATTCTCTAGAAAGGAAATGAAGCGGCACACAACTGGCCAAATCTACAGCTTATTTTCAGAGTCATGGATATGGAAATAGCCACCTAAATAAAGTATGGTTTAATAGTCAGATGAATTAAAACAATAGCCATTTGAAACCCATTCAATATATACTACCTGTAACAACATATCAAAATTTATCTATGACATAGTTCCAACACTCGTACAGATATTAAATGGATCTCTTTGGTATGTCATTGCATGTTCAGAAATAGCAAGTCATATAGCCGACATTGAGTCAGAAGGGGAACCACAAAAGTTGATACCTATATCTAAAACCATGATGAGACCACACATACTTGAATATATGCATTTACATTTTCAGAGAAAATAACTAAAACAACGTGACAAAATCACCGCACCCCCAGTGGTCCTTTCACAAAGCTAACTAAAATGAATACTTCAACCAAGACCAAGCATATTTAGTCAAGGAATCTACACCAAAGGTCTGTTGGTTAGCAGCCATCTAGGCCAAGCACCAAATATAGAGTAGCAAATTTTATGGAATCTTTTCCTACAGTATTAGTTCATTTCATAATATTTCAACACCTGGGGGAGACTTTTTCACCTCTGCAGAATGGCATATTGTTGTGTCAAGAGATGTAACATACCGGCTCATTCATCCGACCAATTTGGTCCTCTTGATTTCGCTCAGAGTTTTGTTCACCGCCCTCAGATTCTCTACTCTTCCTGGTGTTCTTTTTATATTTTTTTTCATGTGCCCTATTGTTATCAGAACCAGTAACAGCACGATCGCGAGTACTTGCCCTTTCCTGCCTTGACCTTCTCTCATCAATGCTGCGTTGGTTTCCACGTGCATGGACATCTTCCCATCCCATATGTTGCGAAGGACTTCCATCCTCAACCCGATCCCTCCTCTTAAATGGCTCACCAAGCCGCCCTGTGTCTTTAAATTGGTAATCTCTAACAGAACCCTTGTACTCATCCTTCAATCTAGCATGGCTAACCCATGATTTTTCTTCTACAGCTCGAGCACTCCTTACTCCTCCCCGTTCTTCTTCTCTTTCCCGTTTCGATAAACTTTCTTCATGTGATTGCTTGATCATGTGCCTCTCATCCCGCTCCCTCTGTCTCTCACCCCTCTCTCTGTGAATCCAGATCTCTTCTTTGTGCCTGACAGAAAGTTGATCATCATCTCTAGTTCTCACCTGCTCATCTCTCTTACGCAGATCCAAAGCATCATCCCTTTCTCGCTTTCGATGACTAGAGTTTTCTCTGTGGCCCCGCAAGGTTTCTTCCTTCTCAGCATCCCTCCTCAAAGGTTCCTCTTCTTTCCTTCTTTTTCTATGGTGATCACCCATGTTCTCATATCGACTCCTCATATTATCATCCTTTTCCTTGTGCCGTGAACGCACATCTTTATCGTGATGGGCCCTTGAATTACCATTATCCAACTGTTTCCTCAACTGAAGATGTTCGTCTTTGTCCATCCTCTCACTTTCTTGAACCTTGTTCCGTTGCCTTGACCCTATTTCATCACCACGTTCTCGCTTCCTTGTGTCTTCAGCTCTAGTCCTCATACCATGTGAATCATCATCTTGCCATTGCCAAGCTCCCTCAGAATTCTCTCTCTCTTTTCGCCTGTCTATACCCTCAGTTTTCCTGTGCGACTGATGGGCTGAGTGAGGATCCCAATCTCTATGAGAATATAAATCCTCCCTACCTTTTTCCACCAAACGATTTTTGCCCATCTCACGTCTCTCATCACGGCCTTTTCTTCTGACTCTTTGCTCATCTTCACCATTGGGTCGCTTCAAATTCACCATTCGTGTAGAACGTCCAAGCTGAACAACTTCCTCGTCAACACTATCATGAAACTTCTGATTATCTCTGCTGTTTTCACTACTTATTGATGCCTTTAAGTGCCCTCCATCATCAATTTCTTGAAGAGAAGATTGTTCAACTCGCAAACTTATCTTTTGCTTTTTCATAGAAGGCGAAAGATTTTCATCTATGCGGGTATCAGTAGTAGTAGTAGTTGTATCCAAGGCCAATTCCTCTCTATCCATGCTAGAGCTTCTACGCAAACCATCACCATGTTCATCGTCAAGATCCTCAGTACTCCCAACAGTAACAGGAGATGATAATCGAGGGTTATGTTCACCACCAATACTTTCAACTGAACCTTCCTTCTGATTGTCAAGAAATCTTTTATCCAATATACTTCCACTGCAGGTCATATTGGGGGATCTGTCACGTGTTCTTCCCTTTGTTTGCCTAGATTAAGAAGAATAGAAGTCATACTTAACATCAGATGCAACGTAACAAAATGAAAATTAGTTTAAATTACTAAGTCAATTTATCCGACATATATACCATAGGAAACTTAAACAACAGATAAGAAATGTTACACAATGGATAAAAAATCATAACCAAGAAACCTAAATCACAAGAATAAAATTGCAACACGTGTCAAACATATGCAGAGCTTTCTCAAGAAGATATTGGTTCAGGTGGAGTTTGATAAAACTGAAAATAATGTACTAAAAACTGAATGTTGAATTTTTTAAGCTGAAAAGATATTTGGTAAAAATTAAGTGCTGAACTAAAACAAATTGTTTGACATATACAAGATCAAATTAGAAATTTTTAATTTTCAAATTGTATATCTTACATTTTTTATCTTGCGATGGTGAGTTGGTAGTGGTGGAAGAGGCATCGGCAGCATTAGTTATGACCCCCATGGAAATAGTAGTGGAGATTAATGGATAGTGCTTGTGGTGTTGGTGAAAGGGTAATATTGTGGAGATAAAAAGAAGGGGTGGCAGCAGTGGTGAAAGGTTGTAGTGGTTATTGTGGTGGTGGTAGTAATGGCAGTGGTGACTGTGGTGGTGGTGGTGGTAGTGGTAGTGGTAGTGGCGGTGGTGGTGGCATGATGGCGGCGGTGGCGGCGGCGGCGGCGGCGGTGGCGGCGGCGGTAGTGAAATGATGGTGGTACTTACGGCAACAATAACAAATCATATCACTTCAAAAGTTTCAAATTTTTAGCCTACATTTTAAGAGGCACTTAATTTTTTAAATGATATCAACCGTGGTTATCAAAAAGGCTTAACTAATTATCAATTATTACATTCAATTTTAAGGGTTGAATTAGGTTACCAAACACCACCTAATTTGAGAAATGAAAACAACCGAGTTCTAGGCCACCAAATCAGCACTACATACGACTTGAAAGGCAATGAGGAGACAAATGAGCAGTACATATATATACAATAGCAATATTTTAAAAGGCGCACCTAAGCGCGAGGCACAATAAGGCACAGCCTTGTGCTTCGAACAAGTCGAGGCAAGGCGCAATATGCAAGGCGCAACTTAAGCGCTGAGGTGAGGGCTTTTTTTTCGAGGCATGAGACGTGGGCTTCATGAGCTTTGCCTATTTTTCTACTCTAATTGTTGATGAAGTGCTTTTTTGTGGGCATACCCACAAGGATTCAAAACTCTTCAAGATAAAATGACCAAATGTGGTCAAAAGAGAGCAGAAAGTGATAAAAGATTGAATGTTATACTTTATATTTTTTGTTGGATATTATATTTTTAATTTTTAGAAAATTGAATGTTACGTTTAGAGATTATCGAAAATGGTTATGATTTTTTAAATTATATATCTATTTGTTATGTTGAAAAATTTGCCTATTTTATAATTTTGCTTTTCTTCTACTACTTGAGCTTCGCTTTGGTGAGGCACACGATTCGCCTCGCACTTAGGCTATAGGAGACCTTATCGTCTGAGTACGCCTAGAGCCTTTTAAAACACTGTACAATAGAAATAAAACTTAATAGCACAAATTCCAAGAATAATTGCTAACATAACAATTCTCAACAAAAACGATTCAGCTCATGATTCTCTTACAATTCCTCAGAAGGCATTTAATTCTTTACTTGGTTTTTCTTGAACAAAGTGAGCATTTAACAACCACATTGTTTTCATTAAGGCTAGAATGACTGTTAACATAACAAGGACATGATTTAGTCATCGTTCTATTTCAATTCATCAACATGCATTCAACTGTTTACAAAAAGTGAGCTTTTTACAAGCATATAGTTTGTCGTTTGCTTGCTTTCCCATTTTCTTCTCTCTGGCACATACAGATGACATAAATCATAAATTAATGAAAATGTTTGTCGACAAAAGGGGGAACAAAAAAAAAATATGAACAACAATCAATTGAGTGCCTTTGACCAATTAACTTTGATGAGGGTAGTACAAAGAATTATCAAGCCAGCGAGAGTTAAATTGATTTAAGAACGTTAAGCTCAAGAAAACGAATTCAATTTAATCCAACAATATATCATACCTCTCCTCATAGAGGGTGCCAACATCTCTGTCAGAATATGCAGAGGTCTGCCCCCCAAAATTGGGATGCTGAACTGGTGCTTCTGGGAGCAAAGGCAAACTTCCATCTCCTTCAGTAAGGTTATCCTGAACAGGATTCATAAAGGGTGCTCTTGTTTCAATCAGTTCCCTCTTCCTACCATTATAGGCCTGTGGGGAACCATCAAAATGTACAGCATCTTCCTCTGCAACATCCCTTTTAATTTCATGGCCTCCTCTGAAATCCTCCATCAAGGAATCATTTTCCGGCTGCTCTATGACATCATTTCCCTGAATGGAATCATCATCTGCTGAGTCCTGCAAGACAATCTGTTTCCCAAACAATATGAGTGCAATTGTAATGCACATATGGTGTAGAGATATGCATCAGAATGATAAGATTGATATCAATGTGCTCATGGACAGAATTGACGACTCACCTCAATTATTGCATCAGAATCACGAATACGTGGTGGCCGAGTATCAATGGACGGGAGACGCTCACCATAACCAGTTTCCACCTGTATTGCTCTTCCAGTTGGCTGGTAGAAAACCACGTAAACAAGTGAGCCCAAAAACTGGCACAAGAAACTAACTCTACGCATTTAAAGAGTTCCATTTTTACTAGATACATTAAAATCTAAATAATGACCAAGGTATCTTCAGGACAAGGAAACTACAAAAACAAAAAATACTACAAGATCAACACCAACACATACCAATGGTGGTCGCACACGTGCAGATCCTTTAGCTATATCACTTTGTCCAGCATCCATCTTCCCGAGATTTCCATTTTCAGATGAAATATCATTAATACCTGCTGCTGCTGCTAGTTCTGGAGGCAGATCTGGATCATACTCCTGAAATGAGAGCAATGAAAGACAAAACCTCCTTTGCTTGTTTCTTTAGCCACAAAAGGTGACTTAGGCAATGAAAGATACTAATAGTCATGGATACATCACTATGAGAAAGCACTTTATTACCTGTTCTGTTCTCCCACTTTCATAGACGCGAATTTTGCTTTGCATGGTTGCCTCCAGGCGAAGTTGTTCCTGCAGAATTTAAATTCAGCATCCTCCCAGATTCCATCAAATAGAAAAGGACACAATAAAGGGTAATACTTACCAGCTGTTTGCAATAATCTTTCCAATTCTCCTCATTTAAACCAAAGTTAAAAAAATCTGATATATCAATACCAGGGAGCCTCCATGGTTTTTCCTCAAAACTATCAATGTCAACATCAAATATAGTCCTGTGAATAGTAGAGAAGGTCAACAGAAGAAATGTTTTCACATTTAAATGTATTTCCAACATGAAAATATATATATATACATAACAAAACAAGAAGCAGGTTACAGCATCTAGTTATGTAAAGCATTATTTCCTGCAACAAAAACAGTGCTTGTTTCTGCAGCTTTTGCCGTGCTACAATGCCGAGGCACCACAAATGTGCAGAATGCCAAACAACCTCATCATGAATAACTGTTGGAATTCAGCAAAAGCTAAGTCCAGACTGTAAGGTAAAAAAACATGAAGGGAAGAGGGGAAGTTTATTTTTCCCTTTTCTTTTTTTGGTGAGAGGGTGGAAGGGACTTTAAAGAAGCAGAATTCCTGATTGAGTTTATTTTTTATATCGAAGTTCTATAAGACAGCTACAACGCCAGCAATGTTGTAAGAAACTTGTAAAGATATGTCCTGGTTGTGAAAGCCATTTACAGATTTTCTTTTTTACTTTTTTAATATCATATCCCCTACTCGTAGAAAAGAAAGTTCTATAAGACAGCTCAAGGCCAGCAATGTTGCAAGATACAAAATGTTGGGCAGCAAAATTAAATGTTCGAGTGTCACTGAAATAAGAATACTGAGTGAGTTTAAATGTTCAAAGGGTGTCACTGAAATAAGAATACTGAGTGAGTTTAAATGTTCAAGGAGTGTCACTGAAATAAGAATACTGAGTGAGTTTAGTTATAAACAATGACAAAATAAAGAAAGAAAGCATTTGTAGGAAGTTAAAAGTGGCACCAATAGAAGATTAAATAAGGCCTAGAAAGTGTAGGTACAAGCGTCCATCTCCACTACTTGACAAGCCACGTCATCTCTATGTGACACATGTTTGCTTCATGATTAGACACACGGACCAATAACGTGCTGTTAAAATCCACCTACTCTCCACGTGAGGTGATGATGAGATTTGTCTTCTTATCACGTGAGGTGATGATGAGATTTGTGAATTATTTGAAGTGGTTTGAGCTGGAATGCATATCTTCAGAAAAGGAATGCACCACTACCATCTCACCTACTCCACTAAACCTAACCCACTACACCACTACCATCTCACCTACTCCACTAAACCTAACCCACTACACCACTACCATCTCACCTACTCCACTAAACCTAACCCACTACACCACTACCATCTCACCTACTCCACTAAACCTAACCCACTACACCACTACCATCTCACCTACTCCACTAAACCTAACCCACTACACCACTACCATCTCACCTACTCCACTAAACCTAACCCACTACACCACTACCATCTCACCTACTCCACTAAACCTAACCCACTACACCACTACCATCTCACCTACTCCACTAAACCTAACCCACTACACCACTACCATCTCACCTACTCCACTAAACCTAACCCACTACACCACTACCATCTCACCTACTCCACTAAACCTAACCCACTACACCACTACCATCTCACCTACTCCACTAAACCTAACCCACTACACCACTACCATCTCACCTACTCCACTAAACCTAACCCACTACACCACTACCATCTCACCTACTCCACTAAACCTAACCCACTACACCACTACCATCTCACCTACTCCACTAAACCTAACCCACTACACCACTACCATCTCACCTACTCCACTAAACCTAACCCACTACACCACTACCATCTCACCTACTCCACTAAACCTAACCCACTACACCACTACCATCTCACCTACTCCACTAAACCTAACCCACTACACCACTACCATCTCACCTACTCCACTAAACCTAACCCACTACACCACTACCATCTCACCTACTCCACTAAACCTAACCCACTACACCACTACCATCTCACCTACTCCACTAAACCTAACCCACTACACCACTACCATCTCACCTACTCCACTAAACCTAACCCACTACACCACTACCATCTCACCTACTCCACTAAACCTAACCCACTACACCACTACCATCTCACCTACTCCACTAAACCTAACCCACTACACCACTACCACCTCACCTACTCCACTAAACCTTCCCCCACTTAAACCTACTCCACTAAACCTAACCCACTACACCACTACCACCTCACCTACTCCACTAAACCTTCCCCCACTTAAACCTACTCCACTAAACCTAACCCACTACACCACTACCACCTCACCTACTCCACTAAACCTTCCCCCACTTAAACCTACTCCACTAAACCTAACCCACTACACCACTACCACCTCACCTACTCCACTAAACCTTCCCCCACTTAAACCTACTCCACTAAACCTAACCCACTACACCACTACCACCTCACCTACTCCACTAAACCTTCCCCCACTTAAACCTACTCCACTAAACCTAACCCACTACACCACTACCACCTCACCTACTCCACTAAACCTTCCCCCACTTAAACCTACTCCACTAAACCTAACCCACTACACCACTACCACCTCACCTACTCCACTAAACCTTCCCCCACTTAAACCTACTCCACTAAACCTAACCCACTACACCACTACCACCTCACCTACTCCACTAAACCTTCCCCCACTTAAACCTACTCCACTAAACCTAACCCACTACACCACTACCACCTCACCTACTCCACTAAACCTTCCCCCACTTAAACCTACTCCACTAAACCTAACCCACTACACCACTACCACCTCACCTACTCCACTAAACCTTCCCCCACTTAAACCTACTCCACTAAACCTAACCCACTACACCACTACCACCTCACCTACTCCACTAAACCTTCCCCCACTTAAACCTACTCCACTAAACCTAACCCACTACACCACTACCACCTCACCTACTCCACTAAACCTTCCCCCACTTAAACCTACTCCACTAAACCTAACCCACTACACCACTACCACCTCACCTACTCCACTAAACCTTCCCCCACTTAAACCTACTCCACTAAACCTAACCCACTACACCACTACCACCTCACCTACTCCACTAAACCTTCCCCCACTTAAACCTACTCCACTAAACCTAACCCACTACACCACTACCACCTCCACTTCACCTACTCCTCACCCACTACACACTCACCCTCTTCTATATATAGGAATCATGAATCATTGTAAAAGAAATAACATTACATCAATCAATAATAATACATACAATTTATTCTCTCTCTTTCTCTATACATTATTTCTTACACGTGCTGTCATAACTACTTAAAAGGGTATACTTATTCTATTTTTCTTAGATGATTATGCATTTTTATTATGTTAATTCCTTTCATTTTATATTCATTATCAATTGTGAGTCTAATAAAGGCAAACTTGCAATTGAGGTAATCATTAGGGGCTTCAAGAGGTTTACGAAAATAATGGCATAATGGGCCCAGTTGATTGCAAATATGGGATGCATGAATTAAATATAGCAAATCAAGCAATAATTGTGTTCCTTCAATTGGTTTCACGGCACAAAGTAGAAATAGAAATGCTCCAAGAAACTAATAATATTTTTTTTTTGGTTTTTTGGTAAGTTTTTATTGAAAAAACCAAACAATACAACAAGCTTGGATTTCTCCTAGTTGTAACCTCTTTCATCTACACCTGAACCACCAAGGATCTTGGGTGAAACACCCCATTCAAAGCACAACAACCAGTTATAGAAATTTTTAACATTTCTATAGGAACACGGCTTATTTCTTAAATCATTGTTGATTCTGCAAGCTATATAGTAGCAGTATCTACCCCCTTTCTTTGAAAAATTCATTGATTCCTGTCTGCCCATCTGTTGTAGACAGTTGCAGCCAAGCATGATCTCAAAATAATTTTCTTAAAGGAGCCTCCTTTACAATTATTCAAAGCCCAAATCTTCTATCCCTCCAGGTCCATAAGAAGTCTCTTTATTTTGTTTTTCTGCAACATATACTTTCAAACCTCACTTTAGTAGGAGCAAGTAAAAACTGATGCCTATGAGTTTCATTCCATTGGTTACATAGCACTAGGGCTGTGCAAAAACCCAAATCACCCAATCAAAACCAACGAAACTGACACGAAAAATAAAGAAGCAGACGGTTTCACACTAAGTTAGGTTAGCAACAGGTATCATGAGTAAAAAAATACAATTCTTCAGATGGGCAACAGTTTAATGCCCATCTCAACTGACAAAACCGATCCGATTGATAATAATTTTACATGTGTCGTTTTTTTGACCGTCCAAATTACACATTATCTTTAAGCCATCATGCCCTGACAATGACGTCTCATTTCTTCCGATTCTCTATTTCACATGCATTCAACTCTCTCTTTCTTTCACGCATAAAACTCTCTCTCTCTCTCTCTCCCTCATTCAATTCTCCGTCTCTCTCACATGCATTTAACTCTCAATCACTCTCATCTCTCTCAATCATTTCTTCTCTCTCTTTTGTATCCCCTTCCCTCACAGTTTCAAAACTCCCTCCTTCACCGCCTCACGCCTCTGCTCCTCTCAAACCTAAAATATTCATCACACCTCTCCCCTCAAAACCCCTATTGTTACAGGGTCAATTTTTGTTTCAAATTCCCAACCTGTAATGGCACTAAGTTGGACACTTAGTCTCAGCCAATTATGAATACACACACACACAGTGTTATAACAAGTAAGAGAATAGGCAACAAGTGATTACAGGAAAAACTCCCAACCTTTATTAATTGCACCAACAATACAAAGGATGCCTATGGAAACTCTTACCAACACTTAGTTAATTTTTGAGTTCCATGGCTATGCCTAAATAGGCTTACCATCAGTTACAAACTTTACAACTAGCATTACAAGAAAAGCATGCCAAATGGCATGGCTGTTGACATCCCCAACTGCCTAGTGACTTAGGATCATTTCTGAGACATAACTGCTAGTAACTGCTGCTAACTCCCTGCCTTGATTCCAGATGTCCAAACTTGCCTTGTCTTTGCTCAACATGGGTAACTGCTGCCAAACAAGCATAACTGCTTTGAACTGCCCATGTTGTATGCCTTCTCAATCAGCCACGAATTTGGTTGTCTTGGC